CAGGGAGACAGACTGATTTCTGTATTATTCTGATTTCTGTATTCCTGGGCTGTTAAACAGAGCACTGTCACAGGGATATGGTGAGGTCTAGAGGGCAGAGTGGACTCTCAGTCAGCACATGGATACACACCTTAAGTCTAAATCAGACCAGGAATCAAAGCAATGGGCACTATCAACCATCACACACTGAGGCACCATTATTTTGGCACTCCCCAGCCTTTGGACATATTTTTGAGGTGCTGAGCCAACTGGGGCCTTGACTGACTCTTAGAATTGGCTTCATTTTCCCCCAGTGGGCACTGTTGTGGTGTGCGAACCCTTGGGGAGCCTGGTGCTGGATTCCAGCCCATGGATGGAAAAATGAAAGGGAAAGAGAAGAAAGAAAGAAGGAAGTGATCCATGTAACCACAGAGCTGACCTCAGCAGCGTGCCAGCTTTTAGAGCTGATTTGGAGGGCAAAAATAATCAAGGACATAGTGGTAAAAGGATGCAAGATAGGCTTCCTCCAGGCAAAACTCATTGGCTGCATTTCTCTGACTAAAATAACTGGTTTTCCAGACAAAGGAAATATGGTAGATTTAATCTGTTTGGTGAAGAACTCCTTTTGCTGCATGGGAAATGCTCACTGGTGACATGCTGGGAAACATAGATATAATTGTGTAATCCATAGAGAGGTGAGAGCTGGCCTCCCATCTACCTTTAGTGCTGCAAAGGAGGATCAGTTACTGTAGGCTTCCTGAAAGGTCTGTCTTGCATTTGATCTAATTTAGTATGCTCATTAATGGCCTTGGCACAAAGAGAACAGAACTGCTGGAAGATTGAGGAAAATGCTGACAATACAAAGCCTAGAAGCAGTGTCAATGCCTCAGAGGATTAGGATGTCAAACAGAAAGAACTGAATAACCTTCAGTACTGCAATAACAACACTAGGATGGAAATAAACAGCACACAGTGCAAGGCTGAGGGCTCAGGGACCAATAACAAGCATTTCTGTGTTAAAGTAGGGTTCATACAATGAAATAAATGAGGAGGAAAACATCTCGAATGACTGTAAGCCACAAATATGATGCAGCCATGAAAAAAGCAATAAGAAGTTAAAGTAATGGATTCAGCCCAGAAAAATGATTGAAGGAGGAGATACAATGGTTTGTTGTGTCCTGTGGCAAATAGCCCAAGGCTGAAAGGAAGGGAGGGAAAATAGTAAGAAAACTAACAGAGCTGATGCAAAAAAAAAAAAAAAAAAAAGAGGTTGGAAAATGACAGTGGGTAACTTAGGCTGGAAAGAAAAGGTTCTGACCCACATGAACAGCAAGGTCAAAGGAGAGTCTTCTAGTGAGGGAAGGAGTCTGTGGAAAAAGCTCAGCTTATAGAAAGCAGTCTAAGATATGCTGCTGGTAGTAGCAGAAAACTAACCCTTGGGCTCAGGAGATATTTTCAAGTCCTAAACAGTGAAAATAAGTGCTCAGGGTCTCCTGTGGTTTTCTGTAGATGCAGCCAGGGATTTCTGGCATTTATGCTGCTGTTCAGCATCCATGTAAGAACACCAAATATTCAGCAGGCCCCTGAAAGGACTTAACCTCTCCTAAAACCTCTTACAGCAAAGAAGAGAAAAATTACCAGCGTTTGCACACAGTCCATGACAAGTCCAACAGTTGGGGAATTTCATGTGGTTTTGGTGCTTTTCCTGCGTTGGAGGGGAGCAGTTTCACAGCCCCAGCCCCAGCCATGCATGCAGAAGTGTGTGGCCACTGGCCGAGGTGTGTTTTCAGTGAAAACAGCTGATGGGATCTGTGATTTGTGAGGCTGGTGCCAGCCCCAGCGCCGGCCCTGCCGCTGTATTTGGGTTGGTGCTGGGCGTGCTGGAAGCGACCCATCCGAGCTGCATGCAGGAATCCAGATTCCATCTGGTTACAGCAGGGTTTTGTAAAAAATATCTAAAGAGCTAGGCAAAGGATTAGAATAAAGAGGTGCTAATAGGGTGCAGTTGGGACAGGAAAGGAAGCTGTAAAGAATTTAATGGAAAAAGAGGGTCAAGGAACATAAAAAATAAAATAGGAAGAAAAAGAGGCATTTTTTTAAAAGGTGAAAGAGTAACAATAATAAAGAATGAAAGATTCTTTTATTTTTGCCAGTTTCAACAAAACGCTTAAGAAAATTCTCTTCTCTGACGTTTAATTTTAAAACATGTCAGTGTATCCAATCAAGTTTTAAATCCTGCTTTGTTTTCCTCAGATGCTGGGTTGCAGTTGGAGAATTCCAATCTTCTCCTTGGCCTCATGAAAGTACTGTCCCCTGCCCTACATTATTTGGCTCTCCTGAGAGGTGGCTGAAGTTCAAAGGGATATATAATTTACAAAGCACTTTGGGATTGTGCTGGAAGAAAGACACTGTTATTAATAACATACCCCTTTTTCTCCTGATCACTTTATAAATGTGGGTAACTATTTTTTAAATTTTTTATTACAATCTCAACAGCAACAGCCTCTTCCTCCACTTAAACAATATGATCTCACCCCATCCTGAAGAGTTTGCAGTCTAGCTTATACCTGGATTGAGAGAGGAAACAAAGGGACAGTGTGGGATAGTGAATTAAAGTCACACAGCCCACCCAAAAGTGAAACAGAGACTGAGTGTCCTCTGACCCAGTCCTGTGCTGGCCAAAAGACCCTCCTCTAGAGATAAATACTCTGAAAGGCGATTCTCCTAAATTTTGAGTGAAGGTGCAAATGCAATTCAGAATGCACAAAACAGAGCTGGTTTACTAGAGAAAGGAGAGCATTGTTCCTTCTTCTGAACTCAGGTGAAGGGCTTAGGTCTGAGTGGAAATGGGAAAGGACCTTATTGTAACAAGATGCTACAATAATTTTACTTGAAACCCTAAAACAAATTCAGGGCTCATAAAAAAAGCATTGACATGGTGAAAGAGAATGGTTTCTTTAAGATGTTCTTGGTCAGAGAATATGCTAAGCATGCTTTTCTAATGTCTGGGTGGGCAAACGCAAGTGGAAATTTAAATTCTACAGAGGCACAGAGAATGTGCTTCTGAAAATGTTTCCAGTTAGAAGCATGTTAAGTGTGAAAGTGTACTCTACACGGAGGGAGTGAGAGAGTGTGGTCTATCAGATCATCAGCAAGGATTCTGTGGCCTTTCCAGGTTCTAAGCACATTCAGTATCTGCTGTCATTGCTCTGAAAAAAATGGGCCAACGAGAGTGTCCCTGTGCCAGAGCTGACTGCAGCTGGGCAGAACTGTGCTAAGCTGTGCCCATAACCTGCCTGCTGGCTCCACACAGAAGAACAGAGACCTTGGAATAACATTAAGGGCTGGACCAAATTCCCCAGAGGAACACAGGCTGGATACAGGAGCAGAGTAATCCTTTCTGAGGAGGTTTTGTGTGATTTAACCTCACCCACTGTCACTGCCCTGGACAGGCAGCGGTGCCATGGTGGGAGGGCACCAAAGAGACTTCCCCAGGGGCTCAGGGGCATGGAGATCCCTCAGAGCACACTGTGGGTCTCAGGGCTGTGACATGGCCAGAACCTCCCATCCTTGCTCTCAGCTGGTAGAGGCAGAAGCTGCCCACAACTTGCAGAACTTTTGAAGTTGCTTTTCTTCATCTCCACCACCTGGAATCCCTCCTATACCTGCCTGGGCCCACTCGTGTGAGCTGACAGCTTTCCAAAAGGTCAGGAGAAATATTTCATGCCAGGGCAGCAACACAAGCAGATGCTTTTTGTTTCTTTCTGAGAGAGAGACATGACAGAAATGCCAGCCTCACTGGACTTCCTTCTTCAAGGAAACAGTTGTTTCCTTGAAGCCATTGGGATTTTGGCTCTCCTTACACACCAGAATATCTCATTATACCTTTCAGTACTGCAAGCTGTACAGGCAATATTGTCCAGCAGCAATAACAGGCAGTGCAGACAGAAACTGAAACCTGAACCAGCCTTATTGATGGATGACCTGACACTGCATTTCCCTGCTCCAGGGCACTTTAATCAGAGTGCAGGTCTAATTAGAAGGAAGTGTGCTGGTTGTTGTTTCCCCCATTCTTTCTGCCAGCAGGATTAGCTTTGTAGGTGCATTTCCCTGCCTTGTCTGATTATCCAAGATGCAACAGCCAGCAGGTTGGTTTGAAGTCGCTTTTTTAGGTATTGTTCAGCTTTATCTGAAATTGATTTTATCACAGAATATTCTTGGAAGGAACCCACAAGAATCATTGAGCCCACCTCTGAAGTGAATGGCTCATACATGGATCAAACCCCTGATCCTGGTGTTATTCTAACTACTATCAAAATTGGAGTTTCTACACTACTCTACAATTCTAAACATCACTGCAGAACAAGAGTGAACTTTTTTGTTAGCAAACAAACAGAACAAATTGATTTACCTTCCTGTCTTTTGTCATTTTGGCCAGAAATGTCTTTTTTTAATATAACACAGATCAAAATTAATTCAGCTAAAAGTGCTTGTCAAATTAAAAAAAAAAAAAGATATTTTTATTATTTTTAGAGATCTCTAATAATTACTTAGGAGAAAAGCACCCTTACTGAGGAAAACATCCAAAATGTGTTTCATCATAATTCAATTTATTGACTTCAGGGTTTTTGTAGTACTGTTTGACAGTTAATCAGACCCCATTCTATGCTGATTCAAAAAAAGAAAGGTTAGATAGGCAGTCACTGTACTGTTGTCTAACTTTAAGCTGTTCTGTCTCCCAGGAGGCAACCAAGAGGAAAAGAAAACCATCCCCAAACAATGCATGAAAGCAGCCTGCACAGAATCTGGCCTTACTGACCACAAATTAAATGGGCTTTGTCTGAGGTAATGAAAATCTGACCTGCTCAACAAAAGGAAATGAATATTACAGCTGCTTTCTGTGGCTAACAATGTGTCCCAATACTTTGAGACATTTGCACTGTGTTCACCAGATGGAGGCTTTGGAAAGGGGCAGTTTCTGAAGGAAAAGAATATCGGTTTTAGTGTTTTGAGCTCCTTACCGTGACTGGCAGGGGTGTGTGTTACATTTCCTGACCTGGGGCTCGGGGCGGGTCACTCGCTGGCAGTCACTGTCATTCACCAGTGTCATGGTCTTGTTAATGATCCGAGTGCAGGACACGATGGTTTTCCTCTCACCTGGAAGCCAAATCAAAAAGAACTCTGAACAAAACCACCTCCACTCATCAACCAATCTCAAAAGCTTGGAGTTCCCTGCTCCCTCTACCAGATGTACTCTGCCACCTCTGCAAGAAATCCTATTCTCCACTCTGCCAGACCTTTGTACCAGCATGTTTTGGAGTGTTTCTTTTTTCAGAAAAGCTACAAATCTTTCCCTAATAATCATGCAATTGACTGTTTCAGATGAGCAGCAACTTGGGCTTTCTCCTTCTAGTGTTTAACGTGGAAAGGAGCTTTAAAACAATTTGTTTTCATTTCTGGTTCCTCCTCCACAGGTAGCTGTGCCCTGTCATCACCTCGGGCAGATGTGCTGAAGTCACACGACCTCCCACCCCCTGATAATGTGACTGATAATGACAGGACAGCTGCCTCCTGCTGCTCCCCGGGCAGGAAGTCAGGATGAAAAGGAGTGACTGAGGTTCAAGAGTCATTAACTGAGCCTGTTCATATTTCACAAAGAGAAAATAAAGCCACCAAAAAAAATTATTTCTCATCTCCTGCTCCTCCAGATATACTGCTTTAAAATCCTTGTGGCCGGAGGCATCTCAGGAGGAGTCACAATTTCTCACATAAACTGTGCAGCAGGAGTTTCCTTCATGCAGTGTGGCCCTCAGGGTTCAGCCTTCCACTGAGTGGCATCAGGAAAGCTGTGCCACAGGGAGCATGGCAGTGACCAGATGTGACAAAGAAAGTGCTACTCCTGCTCTGTGTGACTTGGCCTTACTGCTAATTTTGGTTTCTCAGGTTTGTTTTCTAGCCCTGAGTCTGCGTCAGATTGAGTTTATACAGTTTATTCACCATCTGCAGCTGAAAAGAAAAAAGAACTAATGTTCTGTTAATAAAAAATATACAAACATCTGTATGGAAAGGAGAAAGGCCCTTTGCAGCTTGGATAAGCAGCAAACGCATTGGACAACTAAAATAAAAGACCAATTATCAAGCTAGTACTGGTGGGAGCCATGCTGGAAGACACTGATTTGATTCAAATTTGTAACAGGCTTACAACAAAAATCAGAAGAGCCACAAATAAATTTCCTTTTCATTTATGTGAGGGTTTAATGGCTTAAAAGATATTATTTTAATGCACGAGTAGAAGTGTCTATTCTAAAGTGAGTCTTATTTACAAAAAAAAATCAGCAATTTCAGTGCACTGAGGGCACTGAGCCTATAAATGTGAAGATGAGCTCTTTCCTCCTGTCATGTCACATCATAAATAACTGAGTCTGCTGGTGAAGACAGACTGCCCAGAACGCTTGGAAACGATCTGTTCTCCTCAGGGAACAACCTACTTCTTCCAGCACTGCAAATGCAATGGACAGTGTCTGACAAAGCAGTCTCTGGTTTCACAGCACCAGCTCCCCCAGGGCTGCAGCAGATCCGTCTGGGCACATCCAGGGATGCTCTGGGAAGGGAGCTTTGCCACGTGCTCCTGGGTGGGAGCACCTGATGCAGACCTCCAGGAGCTGTCACAGCAGCCCTGCCCCGCTCCATCCCCGGGGAGGGAAGTGCCTTTCCCTGAGCGTGCCTGGACACCTGTGAGACGCTGCTCCAGGAATGTGGTGGGGGCTGCACACAGAATCCAGGTGCAGCTCCAGCCTGCGGTGACAGAGCAGTGTCCCTGCCAAAAGACTGGCTGGAAATTAACCGTGGGGACGGGGATCAGAGCAGGGAGAGCGGGTGAGAACGAGCTTTCATTGAATTCATTATGGCAGTCCATTTTCATGGCCAATTTCCACCTCTCCTGTGGCTGGAGGCTGCAAACACCACTCAGGAATTCCCACCAAGCTTCCTGGTGTCCCTACCTCCTCCACACTGCACACTGCATCCTTCCCATCCGCTGTGTGTCCAGATGTACAAGGAATCCTGTTGCTTTTCTGGCTCGCTTCTGTTTTCAGAAGTATAGTTTACAGGGATGGTGTATTCATAATGAATTCCATAATTCTGGTCGTGGAATAACAGCACCTGGTTCAGCAGGAAAAGAGAGGCTGTTGCAACACACTGTGCTGGGAGAGCCAACAGGCTGTGAGATAGCACTGCTGGAAATGCTGGCTCAGGAAAAAATCCCTAAAATATAAATACCTTGTGAAAGGCAACCAAATCTTTATATAGAAAACTTAGACTACAATGGTACTGGTAAAACAGGGCAAGAACTGCTTATGAATTGTGAATATTTAAAGCAGTCACAGGGATCTCTAAACCTGGAACTCAAGGTATAACTTTCAACCTCGTATGTGATCAGCAGGACACTGGCTATTCAAAGAGAAAGACAACAGGAAACATTAAATCAGCACTTTTCATACACCAGCTATTTTAAAGAGCATCTAGAGATAAACATCTGAAAGAACATGGTGATGCTTCTCAGAGCAAAAACAACTACTGCACAAAAAGTCCCTTGTCTCCTGGTGAATGTGGCACTCAAGGCAAGCATTACTATTCCTGCTGACAAGCTGTAGCAGCAGGGTTTTATGTCTCAGAAAACTGTGGATGATAAGCAAAAGCCATATCATACAGCTTCTGGCAACATATATTTTCATCCCTGTATATTGCTAGAGGAAGGTGAAACCTGCTTCCAACAGATGGCTATTTCCTGTGGAACCACTTGTGATGTCTCTGGTGTTATTACTCCAGAATTCCCTGACTGTTAACAAAGGAACAGAGAAAAATGTTTATGTTTTCATCACATGCAGATGAGGGTACTGGTCCTGTTTTGATTTACATGTTGGACTTCATTTGGCTCTCACTTTCCCTGGCTTGAGTCAGAACTGATTGGAAGATATCCCATGGAGAACAGGGTCCATGGAATCTGAGTTACCACAGTATTAACAAATGTCATAGGAGTACTACTGTAATGTTCATGCTGTGGCTTTAAACTTACTTATACTTATTATCCCATGATTTGAGCAGCATTAGACAGGTGAATTGTGCTGGCTTGTGTCACCTACAGAAACAGGAGCAATGCCTTATCAAATAAAGGCTCTCGTAAGTGGAGCAAGGAGATGCCCGTTTGAAAAAAGACAAATTTGCAAATGCTATTATCCCCCAACAATAATTGTTTCCCCTTCAGATTTGCACAATCATTCCTACTTAACCAATAATCTCACTAAAGCTGTCAGGAGCTCGTTTAACCACACAAATGTGCTGAAAGAAGGGGTCCTGGCAGCCTGTGCTGTGAACACTGAGGGGGCTCCACAAACTCAGCACCCATGAGCTGCTCTGCACAGCGCAGAACCCTGGGCAGATGAGCCTCTTCCAGAGGATGTGGGGAACAAAGAAATGATTTTGCTTCAGCTACAGAGGGAGCCTCACTTCCAGGACTGAATACCAGCGTTGAAACCAGCCAGCTATCATTACAATTTCAAAGATGAATGCTGTTTTTTTAAACACAATTCAAACACCAGGCAGGTAGAGGCAGAGAGCTTGAGGCCTGCTCTGGCTTTCTTGAAGTGCAGAACATACAAACTCCTGTTCTAGAGACCTGATCAGTCAGCCCCCTTCTGCTCTGGGAGTGTTTGGTTGTTCTCTGTTGCACAAGGAGGACTAGCATAGACCTACTTACACAAACATCAGTTTCTCCAAGAAATACACGCACAGCAATGCACTTGGAGAAATGCCTCAAGTATTAAAAACCAGCTCCTAAAAAGAAATCCTTATTATCTCAATATGGGTGCGAGACTAGTGAATCTAAAGGCCCATATGAAACCAATTTCATGCAATTTCGTAGCCATATATAATTGGGGGGTGTGTATAATTGGTTTCAAATGCAGGTCACAATGGATTGACTGAAGCTTCTGGCTCTTTGTCAGTCCAGTGTATTCCACCACTGTTTGAACAACAGTTTTCTATTTAGAGGGAACTGGTAACCATCCTGCCTTTCTTGTGTTGAAAGAATGAAACCCACCACCCTGTATCAAGCAAAAGATTTGTATCTGATTTGAAGCAAAGACTTCAAGTGTGCTTTGTTTACCACTGGCAGTGATTTAAAACCACATGTTTTTAATGGTCTGGTAATTTTTACATTCCTCATTTTTAATCATTTCTATGAAGAAAGGTGAAGAAGGAACATTTCCTCTGCTTATGTCTGCTGAAAGGGCCTGTCTGTATCTGGATAGGACACTCATGGAGAAGCTCAAAATCACTCCTATGTTAGCTTCTTACTCCTTAACGAAGGGGAACTGAGCATTTCTTTAAAACCAAAGCTCTGCTGATGCAGAAGTTCACAAAATGCCAATATCCAGATTTTACTGCAGTGGAACTCAACCAAGTAATGCCCTGGAAGGTTCCAGGAGCTGCCAAAGGAACCCTGCACAGCATCTTCCCAAACGGTACCTGGGCAACTCCTGTTTCTCACATGAGCTTGGGAAGACCTTGGCAGTACAAGATACTTTGTCAGAGTCCTGGTTTCAGGAGGGAAGGCTTGTGTTAAGGCCAAAGTAAAGAAGAAGCTGATGTTTCTGATGGTGAAGAAGGTGTCATACACCTTCTGTAATACACCTCCTTTGAGTGAGCACACCCTGGACTACATGGGTGGGCCAGGAAGGTGCTGGTGTGCTCAACCCTGCATCTCTGACTACTCCAGCTGTAACCCCTTTGAATCCAGCATTACACTGGTCTGTGAGCCTGTAAACTCACTCATCTGTCTGGGAAAGCAAAGGCAAAACCCCTCATGTTCCTGTGCAGCAGATTTTGACACCAAGAAGGTACTGACAAAGTGGATATTACTGTCAGCTTTTTGTGTGTGTGAAAAGTTCAGGCATCTTTGGAGCTTTTCAAACTGGGTCAGGAAGTGTTGCACAATGAACACCAGCAAGCCAAAAAAATCAGGTGAGGAAAGGGAGAGAATGCTGATTTTTAGCAGTGCTTACAGACAGCCTTCAGAGAACAAACATGGCAAAAAGTCACAAGGAGAAGAAACAGCACAGAAAAAAATGGAATAGAATAAAAAAGTTACAGGAAACAATGAAAAAACTAACCTACTTTCTATGCAAACCTTGCTACAGAACCTGTAAAGCTTTCTGCAGACTTTTAAACAGGAATAAATACATGAGGCAGGAATTATTATAGCTGTCTCACAAATACAAATGTTAAGGTTACACCAGCATTAAGGGACTGGACCATGGGTCACCCTGTCACCCACCAGTGACTGGTCTGGGACTACAGTCCTGCTCTCCTCACCCCTGTGGACTTCTCATTCATGTTCAGCCACATGGCTGCTCATAAAATACCAAGCTGGGTTAACAGAAGGGCTATGCTGAACATTAAGACAAAATGTCAAAAAACACCTTAAACTACATGCAATTGAAAAAAACAATACAGAGAAAACAAAGAACATTTCTGTGTGCAATTAAGTCATTACTTAGATTCAAATTCACATATATCATCTGTGCATGCTAGATCTGCACCTCTTCTGTAAGAGAAGAGATTACTTAAACACAGAATACATTCTGGCATAAGATGAAAGGACATTTCAGCAAATAAGCTTTTATGTGTGTGATCAGGTATGTCCAAGAAATAATTCAGGTCCTTGGGAACCTACATCCTCTAGAATGGACCTGTCTGTGACACATTACAGGGATTTTCTGCCCTGGACATGAGCTGAATGAACACTGCCTGTTCTCCCAGGATGGAGCATCACTTTTTGAGTGGGGAGCTGGGCTTCTCCAGCCCCCGCAATGCTGCAAAAGAACACTGTGGTGAGGAAGCAAACAATCAAAATTTAACTTTCAGCTAGGACATAAACCCTTTCTGTTGCATCACTTAAGAAACACAAACAAAGGATATAAAGTTACCATCAAGTGCAGTGGTATTTTAGTTGGTCCTTTGGCAGAGATTTTCTCCCACAGCCCCCTTCGCACGTACCGGACAGTGGTGCCTGCGATCTGAAACTCACCAGGAAGCTCAATTTTCCAGTCGCTGTTAATGGATCTCTTACTGGAATCTTTTAAAGCTGGAATGAATCAAACACCACGGAATGAAATGCAACAAAATTTGTAATTACAATACAGACTACAGAGCCTTTGTCTCAAGCCCAAGATGTAGAAACCTTGTAATGGATGTGAGTTTAAAAGAATAAAACCTCCCCCACTTTTAGATGGCCCATTGTGATGTTTCTAACTTGGATATATTCTGTACTTCAGCTGATGAAGGTATTTTGAAGAATTAACATAAAATTCATAGATCATTTATCTCTACACTTTCCTTCTAAATGCAACAAGAGAACTCTGCAATTTAGTTTCCAAGCAGAATTTTCTTTCAGTTTCCAGATTTTGAGACCATATTTTCCTAAACTCTCCCTGAGAAAAAGACCAATCAAATAATTGTCGATACACACATGAAGATTTGCAAATGCAGAATACAACTGATACTGTGTTTGTGTGTGCTCTGTAACCAAACATCGAAAAAATTAACATTCAGCTGTCAGAGCTGTAAATAGAAGTCAAGTCACAAAGCAGGGGCTAGTCAGTGAGCAAAATGTGAACTTGGCCACCCTCTTTTCAGAGTCCAAGTGCTGGACACAAATGCATAAGGTCAAGTGCTGTAGGGTCACACCCATCCTGTGCCTCACTATGGTCAACAAGGAAAGCTCAACTTCAGAAGGAAGATGAATATTGAGAAGAAAGGATACTTTGAGTTTGTGTCAAATCAAACAACAAAAAGATACTTTTTGTTTATGTCCTTTCTTCCAGCCTAACTATTGCATCAGGATCACTGATATCCTTCAAACACTCAAAGACAACTCCAGCCATAAGGGCATCACATTACTGTTGACTCATCAGTGGAAGCTGATTTAGGGATTGATGTGTTTTCTGTGTTAGAACGGAAGCAGAGTTATCCAGATGTTGGTGTGATGCACTGAGGGAAGAGAAAATTGGCAGACTCTGCTGCAGCAGAAAGTGCCAGGCCCCTTTGTGGAGATGCATTCACTGTGATCAAATGTGCCCTGACAGCAGACAGACAGAATATCCCACGTGTTACTGGGCTTCCTTAGTTCAAGGTTAACTGTGTCTTTTGGCTAAGCCTTTAACAAGATGTTTTTTTAACCTCTAGCATCTCATCCCTATTTTATTCTCTTCCAGTAAAGAACTTTGCTCTCACTTAACTGAGTGTGTTGCAAGAAGGTAAGAGAAGCTGTTTAAAGCCTTTGGAAGTCAATAGGAAATCTCCTATTGTCATCCCTTTGGATCAAGCCTCCATAGCCAGCAGACCCTCCTGGGTGTGTTTAGGATATATATATATATATATATATATATATATATATATAATTTGTGATGTCTGAACTCTGGGGGAATCTGGAGAGTGGAGGTGACAATGTTCTCTGCATCTGCATGTGCCTTTTTGAGGACCTGTACACTGGGAATCCTGGAAAAAGGCAGATTATCTGTCCTGCTGCACACAACCTTCCTGACAGCTCTCAGAGTCCCATCAGAGGCTCCAAAATCAGTGTAAAAGGGAACTGAAGTGGGAGAATATTTTTTCTGAGGAAAGTTTCCTCTGGCACACAGCCCAAGGGTAAGATGGTGTCCTGGCATTTGCATGCTGCAGCAATGTGTCTCTCCCTGTGGCTCACTTCTCATTCTGCTTTGTTCCTCAGTTTACAAAGTACCTCCTGCAAGCTGAAGACACAATTCTGAAGCAGGATTGGTTTCCTCTGCCAAGACCTAGTGGCTTCCATGCAGATCAAAGCAGCCACCACACTGCCCCTGAGGAGACGTGGACATGACAAATCAAAGCTGTGGATGAGATAAAACTATCTCCAAGCAGCATGGCTGACTAGGAAAGATAGCCCAGCATGTGCTCCAAACTGTCTAAGAGGCTGAGTGACTAAGTCATGCTTTGGTTCCAGCTCACCATCAAAGGGAGATAATTTGCTGATGAAAACCAACGTTTCATCTTTGAGAACCTCTTTTCTGGGTTTGATTTTGATTGCTGCAGGCACTGCTCCCTTAGTGGCTGAGGAGATGGAGAGTTTGGAAACAGACCTGTTCCCAAAGGTGCTCCATGAGGATTGCAGCAATTGCACTGGGGACTGAGCAGAGCACTTAGGCCAAAGTGTTTTCACTGCTGTTCGCCTCCACTACCCCATCAGCAAGATCACTGCTGCAGCTACAAAACCTTCCATGTCTCACACACAGGGAACTCCAATGGCTTTTGTCACACACAATCATTGGCTGTGTGCCCAGCCCCAGAGGTGACAGAACTAAACTCAAACTTGTACAGTAGAAAAGCAGGAGGAATAGGAACCCCAGCAACAACCTGTTAACTTCTGTTTTTCTTGTTGGCTGGAAGGCAGGAACTGACCAATCAACTTCCAAACCTGGCATCTAGTCAGATCTTTATTTCCACCTTGGGTCCCTCCAGCTTGCTTCCCAGCCCGTGGACACAAACTGCCCAGGCATTTCCTGTTCAAGGTGCTTTTTAAGAGTTACAGCCAGCCAAGGAAGCCAGCGTGGGTTGCCTGTAGGTGGAGGGAAATTCTTCAGGCACTGCTCCCAGCACATGAAATAATGATTCCAAATTATGCTGGGCTTCTTTCCAAAATGTTGTACCTGGTTCTGAGTAGAAATAGGACCTGATTGGACTCAGCTTTGTCAGTGCTATTGAAATAGAAATTCCTTCCACACTCAGACCTGAATTTAAGAGTGATTGGGAATTTTTTTCTTGCTCATCTTTATTGCCCTACAGAACCCCCCTGCTGCTATTCATCTCAGTTCAGCAAGACACTGGGTATCTTTTCTTTGTATTGAGTGTTCCTTGAAAGAGAAAACCCTGGAAAGCTTAGAGAGGTTCTCCTGGCTCCTGACCATGAACCAAAGAGCTGAAAGCACTAAAAGCTTTAAAAGAGCCAGATTTTTATCTATCTTTATGTGATGCAAACTGGGCCAGCTCCTGCTCTCAAAAATACACAGTCCTAATCTTCACCACCCAGTGAGGAACCATCTGCTTTAGTCAAGGTTATGTTGTCCCAAGGAAGGGCAGTCTCTAACTCCGTGTAAGACTCTCAGTGCTCTGCTATCTGCCAAAGCCCAAATACCCTGTGCAAACCCCACCAAGACAAACAAAAAGGCTGGTTTCCAGAAGGCAGAGCACTTGCAAAACCCAAAGAAACACTGGCTCCCATTGTTCCACCAGGCTTTGCTATGTCAAACATCTGACGTGTAGGCGGGATCCTCTGGCTAAAGCGTTATGGAAATAGGAGCAGTCGTGATATTCCTTCCTACCAAGAAGTGGCACAAATGCCAATGGTTTTGATCAAAGGGCAGCTGAATGACATAATTTGCCCTCCTTTTTATCCCTGAATCTGGAGTGAAAGAGAACAAAAGCATCTTTCCCACTGATATTGCCAACTGCAGCAACATCTCAAGAAAATCAATAGCACTAGAGCTGAAATCCTGAGACAACCACTATGCAAATGTTTTCAGCAGCATCTGATATTCCACAGCTGGATATTACCATCTCCTTTTGGCTGGAGATGAAGAATTATATGCAAAAGGTGTGGAAATCAGAGACCAAGGTCTGAGCTTTGTTCTGACTCCCTGCATAGCCATGAGCAAGCTTCAACACCTCATTTTCCTCTTCCAGAAATGACAGAGTGACAAGCTCTGCAATCCTCTCAGAGTTCCTTCCTCTCTGGAAGCAATTCCATGGCCATGCAGCTCTGGGATCATGTCAGGGTTTTTCTTGGGCAATTTTCTTTGAAGCCTCTGCTCTGCCATAGGCTTCCTGTGTAAATTCAGGGCTAACAGGGCATTAGCATTTCTGTGACCTGGACTCCCTAGAAGAAGATGGGGATAAAACACTGCACAGTAATGACAGAGAAGGAAGTGCCTCAAACATTGGAGAGAAGAGGCAGAAGACCAGACTGACAGATTCTCAGTGTAGCTGACTGGCTGCACTTTACAAATGTCATTCTGATCTTTAACTTATGCAATGAGTAACTGAACAACAAATTCATTGACAGACTCTGCCCTATGACAACCTCACATGCAAATCTTACCCTCAGCCATGTCTAAACCTTTTTTTCCAAATAGGAAAAGGAAGAGAGGATGCCTGTTCCCCTCTGAAGAAATGCAGAAGTAGAAATGACAAGAGGATTAAACAAATTTTTTTGCCTGATAAAATAGTGGCAAGTGGACTAGAGGCTGCAGCCAAGCCCATCTCAGAGTGCAGGATCAGGTCTTGGGTACAGCATCCAGTGAAAATGTGCTGCAGCAGGAAATGGCAGCAGGTTACTGAGGGATATCAGCTGCCCTGTCCTGCCTCTGCTTCAGACTAAGCTGGGTGCCTTCCTATCAGTACCTCTGCCATTCCCTTCTCTAAACACACTGTTCTCTTCCCCACTCCCTCCTGAAGTGCTGTGTGCTCCTGGCAGCCCTGTGCAAGCCACTGCCAAGTTCTGCTCAGGAACTCTTCTGTCTGTATATAAAAGTACTCTCTGGTCCTTCCAGGTTGCACAGGGCCTGTAAGTGTCACATACTATCACATCACAAACATCATGAAACCAAGCCATAAAAGCACAGATTGCAGCAAGATTCAAATCACCAGCCCCTCCCTGGCAGCAACAAACCTGACAGGTCACTTAGAGAAGGGTCATTTTTAAAAGAAAACAGAGATAAATTTTAATAAAATCATTTTTTTTGTTTTGTCTTTTTACCCAGAAAGCTGTGAGCAGGTTTGTCCTCAACCACTCTGATCCGCCGGGCACCAGCAGGGATCACAGCGGCTTCGATGTAACCTACAGCAACAAAAAAGGGGTGAATGAAAGCAGGGCAGGGCCAGCCAGGATCAGCCATCCCGTACCTCCCTGAGAAAAACTCAACTCCAGGCTGGGGATTGAGTGAGAAACACTCCAAATGAGATCCCTGTGCTGGCAGCCAGTTCTCACTGCTGTGACAGGCGTGGTCATGACTAACATTTCAGCAGAAATGCATGTGTGTTGCTCAGCTGTGA